CAAAGGCAAAGAAATGTAAAACCAGCTGAGGCGAAGTGCCAGGGCCTGTGTCCCTTTTTTGAAGGGAGATCTGAAGCTGGAAGAAGTGCTAGTAAAGGAAGTGAGACGGCACAACTCCAGCTCTAAACCTGTAAATTTTTAAAAATTTGTTTATTTGAAAGGCAGAGAGAGAGAAAGATATACAAACACAGGGAGGGAGGGAGGGAGAGAGAGAAAGAGAGACAGAGACAGAGAGAGACAGAGAGAATGAATCTCCCATATACTGGTTCATTCTTCAAATGTCCTACAATAGTCAGGGGGGCTGGGTCAGGCTGAAGTCAGGATTCAAGAATTCAATTCAGGTCTTCTATGTGGGTAGCAGGAATCCAACTGATTGAACTATCACCTGTTGCCTTCCAAGGGTTCACATTAGCAGGAAGTTGGAATCAGAAGCAAAGCCAGGACTCGAACTCAGGCATGCTGGCAGGGATGGAGATGTGGGCATCCCTAGTAACATCTTAACAACTACACCGGATGCCCACTCCTTGGTTTGTAATTCTAAAAAAAATTATCGGTGAGTAAAAGAAAACATACCCAGTGCCACTCTCCTTTTCTTCTTCCAACCTGCTGTTTCCATCTCACTGAGCAAAGAAAACTTCTCTGTTGAATATATATATATATATATACACACGTATATATGTATATGCTTCCACACATGTTCTATGTGTTAGTGTTCAATGTAAAAGAGTATATAGATCAATACAATGTAACTTTTTAACCTGATGGTTTCACTCTTTAACACATTTTGCAACTTGAAGCAATTTCTGACTAGAGTGAGGATATGTTCCCCAGTGAGTACATTGGGTATTTGTGTGTTCCTAGGGCAAATCTCTAAGCATTGAATAGCTATGTCAAAAGATACGCCTAGGGCCAGCGCCATGGCTCACTTGGTTAATCCTCAGCCTGTGGCGCCAGCATCCCATATGAGTGCTGGGTTCTAGTTCTGGTTGCTCCTCTTCCAGTACAGCTCTCTGCTGTGGCCCGGGGACGGCAGTGGAGGATGGCTCAAGTGCTTGGGCCCCTGCACCCTCATGGGAGACCAGGAGGAAGCACCTGGCTCCTGGCTTTGGATCAGTGCAGTGCGCTGACTGTAGTGGCCATTTGGGGGGTGAACCAAAAGAAGGAAGACCTTTCTCTCTGTTTCTCTCTCTCACTGTCTAACTCTGCCTGTCTAATAAAAAAAGAGAAGAGAAGAGAAGAGAAGAGAAGAGGAGAGGAGAGGAGAGGAGAGGAGAGGAGAGGAGAGGAGAGGAGAGGAGAGGAGAGGAGAGGAGAGGAGAGAAGAGAAGAGAAGAGAAGAGAAGAGAAGAGAAGAGAAGAGAAGAGAAGAGAAGAGAAGAGAAGAGAAGAGAAGAGGATATGCCTAGTTTTTAATTTTGACAGATACTGTCATGTTGCCATCCAGATACGTGAAACTGATTTACTCTACCTCCAACTTGGTGCCAGAGCAGCTGTTCTGTCATTATCCACTTTTTTATTTTAACTTTCACCAACTTGATAGATGGAAAAGGGATATCTCAATGTGACTTTGATTTGCATTTCTTTAATGATAAGTGTGGTTAATTTTTTTTCTCCATGTGCCTCTTTATGCTGTACATCTTTGATCCATCTGAGATTTATTTTGTTGTAAGAAAATGTTTACATTTTCTAAATGATGGCACTAGTTATTAAATAATGCATATTTCCCCACTGATTTGAAGTGACAACCAGCTCTAAATTTTTAAAATGAAAAGAAGCCACTTTAAGCTAAACCTCACACTATACACAAAAATTAATTCAGGATGGATTATAGATTTAAAAATAAAGTGTAACAACTTTAGAAAATAACACAGGAGTGGTCAGCATTGTTGCACAGTGGGTAAAAACTGCCACTTCCAATGTCAGCATCCCAATATGGGTGCCAGTTAGTGTCCCAGCCACTTTGCTTCTGATTCAGCTCCCTTCTAATGTCCTAGGAAAAGCTGCAGAAGATGGCCCAAGTGCTTGGGCCCCTGCTACACATTTGGGAGACCTGGAAGAAGCTCTTGGCTCCTGGCTTCAGCCTTGCCCATCCCCAGCTGCTGTGGTCATCTGGGGAGTGAACCAGCAGATGGACAATCTATCTCTCTGTCTTTCCCTCTCTGTAACTCTGACTTTCAAATAAATAAAAAAACTTTAAAGAAGTTTTTAAAAACAGAAAATAACAAAAGAGTATTTTCAGTACTAAGGTCAGGCACAAAGTTCTTAAATTACAAAAATTATAATATGTGTACAATAAAAAATAATAGAGTGAACTTCACTAAAAACTAAAAACTTCTGTGCTGTGAAATATCCTGTTAAAAGGATGGAAACACAGCCACAGGTTAGTAGAAAATATCTGCAAAGCACATTCCAACAAGGTTTATGAATAATGTTTATTTTTTTTAATATTTATTTATTTATTTATTTGAAAGACAGAGTTACAGAGAGGCAGAGGCAGAGAGAGAGAGAGAGAGGTCTTCCATCCACTGGCTCACTCCCCAGTTGGCCACAACAGCCAGAACTGGGTGGATCCGAAGCCAGAAGCTTCTTCCAGGTCTCCCACGTGGGTGCAGGGGTCCAAAGACCTAGGCCATCCTCCACTGCTCTCCCAGGCCACAGCAGAGAGCTAGATCAGAAGTGGAGCAGCTGGGACTCGAACCAGCGCCCATATGGGATGCCGGCACTGCAGGTGGTGGCTTTACCTGCTATGCCACAGCGCCAGCCCCTAATGTTTATTTTTATCTACTGGAAAGAACAACAGAGACAGAGAAAGAAAGAGAGACTTTCTATTTGCTGCTTCACATTCCAAATGCTGGCAACTACCAGGTCTGGGTCAGATCAAAGCCAAGAGCCCCATTACTGGGCCATCACCTGCTGCCTCCAACAATGCATCAACAGGAAGCTAGATTGGAAGCAGAGCTGGCACTGTTATAGGACACAGGCGACCCAAATGGTGGCTTACCTGCCTGTGCCACATTGCACACCCCCAGAAGGCTTATATAAAGAATATATAAAGAACTATCAACACTGAATAGTAAAAATCCAGAAAATTCCATCATAATGTAACCCAAAGTCTTGAATATTTCAACAGAGAAGATAGCAATGGAAAGAAAGACCTTGTTCAATATCCTTAGCCATCTGTGAAATGCAAATTTAGAAGTAAAGCCAGCTAAGATATCAATGGCTAAAGTAAAAATAGTGATAGCACCAAAATGTTAGCAAGGATGTGGGGACACTGAAACTTTCATACGTTACCGTGGAATTGCAAAATCGCACAACCACTCTGGAAAGCAGTTTGGCAGTTTATACAACAGTAACATCTACCTCGCATTTGACTCAGTAATTGTACTCCTGGACAGTTATCCCACAGAAATGAAAACTATGATTACGCAAAAACCTGTACATGAATGTTCATTGCACTTTCCCTCATAACAGCAAAAAACAAGTCATGGATCCTTCAACGTAGGACACACTCTGCTACCAGATCCATGGATCTTACTACTCAGCAATAAGAAATCATGGCTTTTAATCCACACGGCCATCCAAATGGACCTCAGGAGCGTTATGCTTGGTGGGAAAACAGCCAACCTCCAGAGGTTCCATACTGTGGGATATATGTTCCATTCATATAACATCCACAGAATGATATAACTCTAGAGATGGAAAAGATACTAGTGGTTGTCAGGGAACAGAAATGGAAAGTAGGGGCTTAGGAATGCAAATACAAAGAGGTAGCACAATGGAGTTCTCTTGTGGTTATGAAACAATTGTGTGTCTTGATTATGGCAGTTACATGAATCTATGCATGTGATACATTGCAGAAAACTTCTCTCTCTCACACATGCACACACGAGTACAGATTTTAAAACAGTGAAAATAAAATGAAATGTGTAGTCTAGTGAATGTTAGTTGCACGGATGTCAATATCCTGATTTTTAAAAATATGTAAGATGTCATTGTTGGGGAACACTGGAGTCATTTTTATTTTTTTTGCAATTTCTTGTGCATTTCAAAATAAACTATTTAAAGAATGTTTAAGTGAAAAGAGATCTAGAAAAGACAAGCAAAGAAAACTAGCAGTGCGGAAGACCTTCCCACACACAGGGTGGTTCTCTTTGGCCTTACCCACAACATCCCATTCAATCCCTTTTCTTTCTCCCCAGACACACAACATACTATCCTTCCGAGATGTTTCCAATAGAATGGAACTAGACTAGGGCAGACACAAAAGTTGCATAAGAGTAGTGTAAAAGAACACCAGCACACTGCTTTTCTAGAGTCACCTGTTGTGAACACTGTAGCCCATTACCTCCATCCTGTGGGCGCCATCCGCCAGTCTCTGACATTGCTCCTGGGGCACGTGAAGGTAGGTTACCCACTGCACACGTCAGCGTTTATCTCCTAAGAACATTCTCGTACACGACCACAGTGCGGTATTCAGCGGGATCCAACTTAACGGAGGGCCTCCATCGTCACTGTTCCCTGTCACTTGCACCGATGAGGTCCAGCGGAGTTCAGTCTGGGGTCAGGCATGCCCCTGACTGCCATGCCTGTTGGAAAGCCTTGGATCCGGCGTACCTGGCTTTGCCACCGCTCGCTCCTGGTCGCGGGGCACCCAGAATTCTCACCTGTAAACAGGTGGGAGCGGTACCACGGACTCGCCTGTCTGTTGGTAAGACACCATGACAGCCTCGTGTGTCCTCGGCATCACCATTCCCGAAAAGCATCTCGACTTCCATAGTGGGTGGCTTGGGGCCGAAGAGACCCGCTTGGGTTTTTCGCCCCCTGCCTTACAAAATGGCTTAGGACGGGGTTGGGGGCAAGCCAGGGAAGGAAAGGCGGGAACCGGGGAAAGAATCCCCCAGGGCAGAGCGGAGCTGGACAGTGCGAAGGACTCGCCTTTTCTGCCAGGTCACCTGGAGCGCCAGGCGGCCAATCGGAGGCGCCGTCCGGTTCCCGCGGCCAATGGGAAGGCGGCGCGCGCGCCCCCCCTCGGGGCTATAAGTGCGCGCCGGGCGGCGGAAAGTGAAAGTGGTGCGGGCGAGGCGCGGGCGGCTGGGGCCTGAGCCGAGCAGCGGGGATGCTCAGGGCTTGCGAGCAGCGGCCGGGGGAGGCAGAGGCGGCCGGCTGCAGCCCCCGGGCTGCACCGCCAACCCAGCCCAAACCGCTCACCTCCTTCCTCATCCAGGACATCCTGCGGGACCGCGCAGAGCGGCGCGGCGGCCACACCTGCAGCCCGCAGCCCCCGCGCCAGCCCGACCCTAGGCGGGACCCCGGGCCGGAGCCCGCTGGAGAGAGAGGCCGCGCAGGGGCACTGGAGGAAGGACCGAACGCTGGGCCCGGAGCCACGCTGGGGGAGGCCGAGACGCTGGCGGAGACCGCGCCAGGTAAGCAAGGGAGGCCCAGCTGGGCTGGGCTGAGCTGGCAGATCGGCCCCGAGGGTAAGCGGGCCTGGCGAACCTAGCCGAGGTCAGAATGCAGAGATGCGGACCCTCGCGGCGACAGGCGAAGGGACCCCGGCGTCCCCGCCACCCCTAGCCACGGGCGCGCCTGGGGGATTCACCGCGAGCCCTGACGCAGGGCAGCGCCCGATTTTGACGCGGGTGGCCCGGCGCCCTCGGCTCCTCGGGGCTGCACAGCCGTCATGCACGTAGTGTGCACCTGGGCGGTGAAACCCGGACGCTGCCTGCGCCGAACCGGGCGTAGATCCCCTCACTCCTGGTGGGGCAACCTAGTTCCAAATGCAGAGAAAGGAGAAGCGAAGCCAGAGACCGAACGTAGCGGGTCTTTCTCACCAGCCCTCCTGGAAGCACCGGATGCCTTTGAGTACCATTTTCCTGGGTGTCATCGCCCCCTCCCCCATTTAACTTTATAAAGATCAACCACCTCTCTCTCTGTGGGTCCTTGCTGATTATTAGAAAACCAATGCAGAGGGCCAGTGCTGTGGCCTAGAGAGTAAAGCTCTGCAGGTTCAAATCCTGGCTTCTGCACTTGCGATCCAGCTCCCTGCTAATGCACCTGGGAAAGCAGCGGAAGAGGGCCCAAACGCTTGGGCCCCTGCACCCATGTGGGAGACCCGGAAGAAGCTCCTGGCTTCTGGCTTCAGCCTGGCCCAGTGCTGACTGTTGCAGTCATCTGGGGAGTGAACCCGTGGATAGAAGATGGATCTCTCTCTCTCTCTCTCTCTCTTGACTCTGACTTTCAACTAAATAAATAAAATCTTAAAAAAAAAAAAAAACTAATGCATAATAGACAGACTTACTCCTTCCTCCCTCTGGAGAGGTCCTTGGTCATGTGAAAAAAGTGCAATGTATCAGAGATAACAGAGGGCTGTTTGTTCACACCCAGGAGATAAGGGTGGGTTGACTTCTGTTCTCTTCCCGCTAACATGTAACTTTTCCTTCCCGTCCCTCCTTCTTCCAGTCAGGCACTTTGAGACGTATGTGCTGGACTGCGAGGACGCAGCAGGCACCTTACCGAGCCTTCCCCAAACTGCCAAGCAGCCGCAGAAACGCTCGCGAGCCGCCTTCTCCCACACTCAGGTCATTGAGTTGGAGAGGAAGTTCAGCCATCAGAAGTACCTGTCAGCCCCTGAGAGAGCGCACCTGGCCAAGAACCTCAAGCTCACAGAGACCCAAGTGAAAATTTGGTTCCAGAACAGACGCTATAAGACTAAGCGAAAGCAGCTCACCTCGGACCTGGGGGAGCTGGAGAAACATTCGCCCCTGCCAGCCCTGAAAGAGGAGGGCTTCTCCCGGGCCTCCCTGGTCTCCATGTACAGCAGCTACCCGTGCTATCCCTACCTTTACTGCCTGGGCAGCTGGAGCCCTGCTTTCTGGTAAAGTCAGCTCAGATGACAATGCTGTGTGATCCAAAACTGCCTTCCCCACGGTTTCTCTCTGGAAAGCAAAAGGGACCAAGATCAGGGAACATTGGGGAGCAAGAGGGATGCAGATCAAAACCATTGGAGGTTTGTGTGCAAATCCCAGATTCTTCACTGGTGGACCCATAAAAAACTAGGGCAGTAAATATTTTAATATCTAAGTAGTTCCTGCAGTGCATAGTGTAAGTTGTTGCTTTTAGGGGAGACAGAAAGTCAAGTGCTGTTTCCAGCACTTTGTATCATTTTGGTTGTGGTGCCAGCATCACTCCTGGGGATTCTGTTGCTACAACTCCCTCTTCTTGTGGCACTGGTCACTGACTCTGAAAAAGCAAACCAGCAGAGAAAAAGGAAAGCGCTGATGAGGATGTTGTCTGCTGAATTAAACCTAAGTTCAAAAGCCTTTCATTAGCCTTGGGTCATGGCCAAGGTTATGTTCTGTCCCTGTAAGAGAAGGTCCCAGAGAGAAACACCTTGCACTCATGGTGATTGGCATGGGACATGGAAATATGAAGGAGGAAACAAAAGTAGCAGCTTCTTCTTATTCCTTTTAAATTGTATGCTACTTTTAGTATTCATAGGGTGGCATTTGCTGTGGTTTTAAGACAAGCTGTGTAAACAAAACTCAACTGCAAGGGCAAGGCCATGCCAGAAGATTCTCTGCATTTCCCTAGGCAGTGACCCCAGGATGCTCTTGGGACCAGTGCATTTTTATTAGCACGGTGGAAAGAGTTCTTTTCAACCTTTATATGCTGGACCAGGGAAATTAGAATCAGAATTTTCCTGAGGTCTTCATGCCACAATTTGTACTATAACATGACAGATGACACCATTCTTTACTATAAGGTACTGTCTTTCTCCCCTTCTTATGTAGTTATCACTCACTATAGGCCTTTTTTTCAATCTACACTTTTGTTCTGGCTATACCTAACCTACACCTTCCTCATTCAGCCTGAGATTTTGTCATTGTTGTTGTCATCATTGTTTTTTTTCTCAAAGCTTTATCTGTCTTAACTTAAAAAATAAGTAGGAAGAGGCAGCTTCTAAACAGACAAAAAGGCATGCATTTCTTAATCTGGAAACTCTTACTTCTTTCCTTAAAAAAGTAACATCATTAAATCCCAAAATCTATTTAAAGACTCGACTGCCCAAGCAGGTCACTGCTGCTTTTATAGGACTTTCTGGTGACTCTGATGCCACAATTCAAAGTCTGAGAACCCTTGGGGCCCCCTGCAGGCAGAGGAGGTAGGGGTACTGGGTTTTCTTTTCTTTTCTTTTCTTTTCTTTTCTTTTCTTTTCTTTCTTTCTTTCTTTCTTTCTTTCTTTCTTTCTTTCTTTCTTTCGACAGGCAGAGTGGACAGTGAGAGAGAGAGAGACAGAGAGAAAGGTCTTCCTTTTGCTGTTGGTTCACCCTCCAATGGCCGCCGTGGCCGGCACACCGCGCTGATCCGAAGCCAGGAGCCAGGTGCTTCTCCTGGTCTCCCATGGGGTGCAGGGCCCAAGCACTTGGGCCATCCTCCACTGCACTCCTGGGCCATAGCAGAGAGCTGGCCTGGAAGAGAGACAACCAGGACAGAATCCGGTGCCCCAACCGGGACTAGAACCTGGGGTGCCGGTGCCACAGGCGGAGGATTAGCCTATTGAGCTGCAGCGCCAGCCAGGTACTGGGTTTTCACATGGAAGAACACAGTGCAAAATGAAGGGCTGAGGAGCTGGTCTTCTCCAGTTGTCTAGTGGACATGGAGGCTCGTGGGCAGGCCGTGGGAGAGAAGGCAGCCCAGATCTTTGGAAGCCCAGTCCACTGAGCAAGCAAAGGGGGCTGATAGCACTTGGCAGGAAGAGGCTGAGAACAAGGAAACTTTTCAGAACACAACATTATGATGGCCTCAGTTTCCAGATAAACAAACTCTCCAAATACTTTGGGGACTGTGTTTAATGCCTGTAATGGGTCCTCCACATAGGATACCTAGTGACTTCAGAGAGGGTGAGCTGAGAACAAAAGAAGTTTGGTTGTCCTTCTGTGTCTGTCTTAGTAGCTCATGTGACCTGGTAGAGGGGATTCCCAGAAAACAAAACTTTACTAACAAGGAACCCCAAGGCCTAATTCTACCTAATTCTGTTTTGTGAGAATGCTTTCAATTTCCTCCTGTTAAAAGAGCCAGTTCACTATCTGGCAAAACTGCCTATGTGAAGTTTGTAAAAGGGTGTCCCGTTTTCCCCATTCTCTATGTTTTGGGCTCCATGTTGAAATACCGCTATTAGATGCTGCTGCCCCCACCTCAGGACTGACTGCTCCAAAGGTGAACTAGCCTGAATCGCTTTCTCCTTCTCACATGACTTTTAAGATGAGCATTTAGTGCTTCCTCCTTACTCAGGACTTTTTCACTCCCCACCCTCTGAATATAATTCTTTTCAACATGCAGTTGTGCAAGGATTAGGCATTTTACAATGATGTATGTTGTATTGCAAAAACAAAAAGCCTCTGTTTAAAATTGTTTGGCTTGTGAATCCATCTTGCATTTTTCCTACTGGAGTTAGCTATCTGTGCATATGTGAACTGGTGAAAGATCATTTGAAAAGCTAGTCTGCCAGAACCCGACAGGTAGCCTGGACAGCGCCCTGGACCATTGTGCCAAGCAGCCTGTGTCTATCCTGTTGAATCAGTCAGTTTGAGTTCTCCACATGTGTAATAAACCCTGCTCCAATCTGTAACACAAAAGTCTGTGACTTGAATTTTAGTAAAGCACTCCAATCAAACTTTATTTTTCTATGAATTTTTTTGCAGCAAATGGGTGTTTTTAAAATAAAGTCTATGTCTATATTAGACATATCTGTGTGTGATGTGCAGTGTCCTGTTTACCATGTATTACTTATTTACTTATTTCTGATTATCATATTCTCTCACCTTCCACTGCCTGAAAAGCATTTGGGAACCACAGAACCCCAAGAAACAGCTTTGGTGGTCACCAGTGGTGGTTCTTTTATATACACAGTGTCCTCAGTTCCTGATTTAAAGAAGAGAAAGACATTTCTTTTTTCTGCTTCAACCCCAGGATACCATTTGTTTGAATAGAGACCATCAGTAATGATGGTATTTACTTACATTTCTTGAAGATCCTGAAGGGAACATGGAGACCCCAGCAATGCTTCTTTGAACATCCCCCTTCTGTGTTCTACCAGCCCCTCACAGGACAGCGCCCCTGGCCCTCACACTCCTGCATCTCTGCAAACATCACCTGCACCCGGAGTCCACAACTTCGTGCAGGGGAACTCTTTGACTTGGAATCCCAGTATGGGAAATAGGTTTTACTAATGTTAAAGTTAAACATACAACTCACATGTCTGTCATCTGCCTGCATTTAACCTTCACTAAATCCCACAAGCAAAAGCACTTGATTACCCGAGAGAATTGATGCTTTTCTTCCCCCTCCTTCAAGGAAATAGAAGCTTAAAGAGTAAAGTGCTTATTGTAGGTAAAACAGATCATAATTGCAAAGTTTGCGCTAATCCTTTAAGTACATTGTACACACAGGTGGGGTTTCTTGCAGCCTGCTCATATCATGAGATTTAACTCTTTGCACAAACCTAGAGCCATCCTTCCCTCCCCAGCAAGCCATTGGCTCTCACATTACAAAGGCTCAGGCACCAAACTAGCAGATGTGGATTTTGTTTTTGGCAAACCATTTAAAAGTAATTAAACCAGGACGTTAAACACAAATCTCTCATCTCTAACAAAGTCAGCCTCTGCATCTTTTTTGTCCCTTTTCCAATTTTCCCTCAATATCTCTGCTAATCTCACACCCTTCTTCCTCCAGCGACTCCCCTTAGCAGACCACAAGCTTGTGGGATTTGGAATTCACTTTCCATCTGTCTCTAGGTGTCAGTTTCTAGAGCCACTGTGATTTTGTCCCTGGTGATCCTGTTGGTCCTCCTCGGGCCTCCTCAGGAAAGCCATGGTTCTAGAAGGGGACATAGATATGAGAAACACATACCTAACAAAAGTGTTTTCGTTCTAATCACAAAGCAAATTGGTTTTCTAGAGTGATGCTAATATCACGCACAGTGAAGGTGATCTGGGAGGGACCAGAGGCAAGGAGGAGAAAGCCACTTAGCTCAAGTACTCTGGAGACAGACCCTGTGTTGGGCTTTATATGCTGAATTTTAGTTGAGAATGGGCTTGAGATATATGGGACAAGTAGTACAGTGGGCAGGGTTGAGAGGGAGAAGCCGACCCATGTGCACCGGCAACTGACATCTCACCCAATACCTTAAGAAACTTCAAAGCTGGCATGTCTCTCATGAAGGGAAGAGGGCTGGGATTTTGTATCCCAGCATCAGCTGCCTCTGCACAGCAGGAGGAACCTCAGGCAATGAAGTTCCTTTGGGTGTAAGGTGATGACCATCGAGGCCCGCAGCTGTGAGCCCTTGCGCCACAGCATCCAGCGGGAGACACAGGATCCCTGCCCGGGGTCCCTCTCAGGATTGTGGTTACCACCATGTGCTGCCATGAGTAAATCTGTGTCAAGAGGCTGAGACTTAGCCCAGAGCTCTCAGTTCTGCACACAGAATCCAGACTCTGCACCTCTCCTGGCCACCGTGAGCGTGTCACCGGGGCATGTTTTTCAAAGCCAAGAGTTATTTACTGCCCAAGAGAAAGGGCAGCAACAGTAGTTCTGGAACAGGACGAGCTCCGAGTTTAGCCATAGACTTGGAATTCATGCAAACTTTCCCAGACTGCCCGCCCCATGCAAAGGCTTATCTAAAGTCATCCAGGGAAATGAGAAGAATCCTGGTTTCCATTGCATGCCCCCCCCCCCCACTTTGCCCTCGCCTCCGTGAAGCTCCAGATGCAGCCTGGACTCACTTCTTGAGCTTGTTGTGGGTTCTGTTTGGGGTTTAGGATAGAGACTTAGGATGGATTCCCCATGTGGCCTCTTCTAACTGGGCGGGCACCATCTGCTTCCAGTCCCATCACCAGGAGAGCCCTCACTGGGGAGGTGTTGGGGTAGGGGAGAAAGGCACACCCAGAGAAAAGTCCCATTTTCTCACTGAGGAAGTCTCTAAGATACTCACAGATAATTTCTTTAAAGCCTAGAAATCCATGTTGTTGTGTGGGAAATGAATGCTGACTTTGCTCTCTTAAAGGTGGAAGTTCAACAGTATTTAGTCTCTAACACTAGTTGAGCCTACATTCTCAGGGGGCATTTGAAGGATGATGCTTAAAAATGACATTAAAATCCACAGGAATCTTAATTAAAATCACAGAAAAACAGAAGAAGGCCCAGCCCTACTTAACACCAGTTGAGTACTTGGAAAAGTTCATGGAAAAGAGAATTGAAAGATGAGCTTATGTTGGTGAGAAACTTTTTTTCTGAAATACATGCACTCAAGGGATCTTCAAAAAATTCATGAAAATGTGTATTATGAGAAAACAAAGCATGGATGCTTTTTTTTTTTTGCATTACAATAAACTAATCAGGGTCCAGCACTGTGATGCGGTTGGATAAGCTGCTTGTGACACTGACTGATATCCCTTATCTGAGCACCAGTTCCAGTCCTGGTTGATCCACTTCTGATCCAGCTTCCTTCAAATGCACCAGGGAAGATAATGAAGATGTTCCAAGTACTTGAGCCCCGCCACTTAGGTGGGAGACCAGGATGGAGTTCCTGGTTCCGGGCTTCAGCTTGTCCCAGACCTGGTTGATTTGGGAAGTAAACTAGCAAATGGAAGATCTCTCTTGCTCTCTCTCTGTCTGTCTCTCTCTCTTTCTGCCTTTCAAATGAAAAAAAAGTAAATAAATATATCTTTTATTAAAAAAACTTACCTTCTAATTCCATTTATTCCTGAACTTTTTGAAGTATCATTGTACTATAATCTCTGAAAGTAGGGCTCAGACATCAGTATCTTTTTTATTAAAAGAAGTATTTACTTATTTGAAAGACAGGTACAGAGAGGCAGAGGCAGAGAGAGAGAAAGGTCTTCCATCTGCTGGTTCACTCCCAAAATGGCCACGATGGCAGGAGCTGTCCTGATCCGAAGCCAGGAGACGGGAGCTTCTTTCAGGTCTCCCATGCAGGTGCAGGGGCCCGAGGACTTGGACCATCTTCTAATGCCTTCTCAGGCCATAGCAGAGAGCTGGATCAGAAGTGGAGAAGCCAAGACTAGAACCAGCACCCATATGGGATACCGGCACTGCAGGTGCTTTTACTTGCTACACCACAGCACCAGCCCCACCAGTATCTTTTTTAACACTAATGTCCAAGGTTATAAATCACTTGCTTGGCATCTTTTCAGCTGGTTTTCCTACTTAGCCTCTCAGGCTCATGGTTGCCAGGACAAGAAAGAGCTACCTGGAGGTGCCAGCCAGGAAGGGAGGAACTGAGACTGGTTTCTGCTTTGTGCCCTTTGTCTGGCTCTTTCTGTTTTACAGAGGACAGATGTTCAAATATTCATTCTTTCTTCCTAAGCATCCTCTTTTCGGAACTTCTGACATCATCAAAAGGTACTCTCTAGTCCAAGGAAACCCAACTCATTCCAGTAAATCCCTCACTCAAAGTTTAAGGGACCTAAATGGCTTGTGTGTTTTGCTAACCGTGTAATCCAAAGCATTCATTACCCGTCTCCAACCCAGGCCCATCTGGAGTGACCACACACCTTGACTGCCCCCGTGGAAGACAGAAAATTCCATCCTCGGCTGCTGCCAAGGAGATTTCACCTGCCTGGAACCACAGAGCCTTGTTTGTGCATCTCTGGGAACAGCAGGTGCCATTTCTTGTCTGTCCATTAGTGTCACCCTTCCCTAACAACTCATCTATCAGGATTAAATGTGTTTTCCTACTGACACAACATTTACACTTTCCTCTGCCAAATCAGTAATATTAAACTTCCTTTTAAGTGTGTGTCTGTGTAGAGATGGATGAGGGTGGAGGTGGTTGTGTGTGTGTGTGTGTGTAAGGGAGAAATATGCCTTATAGCAATACAGTTTTTGACTAAAATTTGCATGCAATAAACACAGAACTGGAATTAGAACTCCAGTTCAAACCAGAGAAACTTCAACTTGAGCTAAACAGCATATAGAGACAAGGATGATGGAAATGAGTTAGCTCCGCCACACTCTTTTTCTTTCTTTCTTTTAAAAATTTATTTATTTACTTGAGAGGTAGAGTTACAGACAGAGAGAGGGAGAGACAGAGAGAAAGGTCTTCTACCCACTGGCTCACTCCCCAAATGGCCACAATGGCTGGAGCTGTGCTGATCCAAAGCCAGGAGCTGTAGCTTCTTCCGGGTCTACCACGCAGGTGCAGGAGCCCAAGGACTTGGGCCATCTTCTACTGCTTTCCCAGGCCATAGCAGAGAGCTGGATCAGAAGAGGAGCAACTGGGATACGAACTGGTGCCCATATGGGATGCTAGCACTACAGGTGGTGGCTTAGTAGACTACACCACAGCGCCAGCCCCTGCCATATCAAGAAGAATGCAGACAATTTTCACAGTGTGTGTCTGGAGGTGGGGAAGAGATGGCATCCTCTCCTGGACAAGTTTGGAATCTTTCCCTGCCTCCATGCTGAGAATCTGTTTATGTTTAGATCCTTGATGATTTTTTTTCCCCAAGGAAGAGCAGACTCAACAAACAAGGCACTTTCCATGCCTTGCTGTGACTTTTGGACAGTGAGTGGGTGTGCAGAGGGGATGCCATGCACGTACAGCGCTAGTTAGATGGCACACACCCCCTTCCTGGGAGAAACCAACATGATGGAGGTACATGCATGAGAGACTTCGGAACCAAAGTAGGGCCACGAGGCACTAACAGAGGCTGCAACCTATTC